ATATATATATACATATACACTATTGGTTGTTGATCTAATGGCTTCAGCACAGTTTTAAACACTGACCCAGAACAGGCACACAGATCAAGAAAGCCACAGTGAAGTAAGAACTGCTGATCTGCACACTTGTTCTGCACCAGTGACTCAGAAAATATTGAAACCATTGATTCAGCGGAACCGATAGACAACTAGCAGTTGCAGAACAAGAGGTCAGCCAAGGCAACCTTCATGTCTGCTGAATGCGTGTATCCTGTAAAGTAAAACTATAATGCTTTTTGGTCAATTTCTTTGATTTGATTTTAATGCATACACCTAAAAACAACAACATTGAAAAAATTGTAATTATTTGTATAAAATATTTATTGTACAAGTAAACACTTAAAGTGGAACTACACCCTCCTACCCTTTACAGCCAAGGAAGATACCAAAGGTTAAAATAAAGAAAACATATGCAACACTAAAGGGTCTAGTTACCAATGCTTTCCCTCAAGATTCACAGAACTTAAACCCAAGATTCGCACATTTTGCTTATAGAATATTATGTGCAAAATCTGTAAATGTTGGGTGATTGTTCTGTAAATGTTGTGTGAAAACATTGATAAATGGACCTCTAAATCTTCCCTTTAACGCACAAGAAGCTGTAAAACTATTTGGAATAACTGCATTGACTGCTGGCATCTCTCTGACAACTCCCATACTATACTTGTTATGATTTTGCTTATGTTTTCACAATATATACAGTAGAGCAATAAGTACCTTCAGTAGTTCGACATAATGGTAATATTTAGTGTTTTTTTATAGGTTAAAATTTGGGGACGGAAAAAAGCTGTTGAAGATCAGAAGCAAGCAGAGTATGCACTAAGTGTTTCAAAGCCAATTCTGGAATTTTTCGAGAAATATTATAAGGTTCCTTACCCTTTGCTAAAATCAGGTGTGTGGTTGCTGACCATCTTGTGCCCTTTGTTCTATTGTACACGGTTTTATTCTAGACTAGACATTAAAGTTTAGTTTAGTTACGAATGGAAATTCGGATGAAACTTCATGAATTTGGACTTTCGGATGTTTGGACCCGAAACCCGAAAGAATTAAACATCCAAAACTAAAGACATTTTTTCCCAGCGTACATGTCTGTTCTAGACTGTTACAAATGATCTATCCATCTATCGAGCATTTCCTTCTCTGTGCACATGGAAGGCAGATTTCTTAAAGAAGACATTACAGCATGTAAGAAAAATTGCTAAAAATGGAAAATAAGTTAGGTGGGAAAATTAGTTATACAGTTATGGTGGCAAAAAGGTTAACTCAGCATGACGCTTGATGACCACTTTCAAAGGAAAAGAACAGAGACCACTTGTAGGGTTATATTTGTAAGCTGACTTCATTTGCCTGGATATATGACATAACCTAATGTGGTTTCAAAGTGTATATAATGTTTGATTGTGTATAAAAGTGGAAAACCTGAAGTGACTCTGAACTCAGTAGTTAAACCTTAAAAATGCATTCAAGTACCTTAACTATTGACAAAAATGTATCTTATTTGTATATCACTCAGATGTATATCCTCAAATCATCTCTGAATTGGTGACACTGTGCTTCCCTCTGTGTTGTAAAGTAGCCACCGCTCCAAGCTCACTCTCATGATAAACTATAATCCCTGAGTTTCGTGTCACTTTAATTCACCAGACGATCACAGCTTCAAGACAGGTCTGTCTCAGTCTGCATCAGAAAACTGTGCAAAGACATCTACAGTTTAACAATCTCTTCTGTCCTGCAGACCAGGTAGCTTTGCCTGACTTCAGTGCTGGAGCCATGGAGAACTGGGGGCTGGTAACATACCGAGAAACTGCTCTTTTTTGGGACCAAAGGCAGTCTTCCATCGGCAACAAGGACAGAGTGGTCACAGTCATAGCTCATGAACTTGCTCATCAGGTGCTTTCACCATCTATTCTTTAAAATAATAGCAACTATACAAACATTTGATATACAGAAGTAGCTCAATGCTATCAAATAAGTATAAATAAAATATAAAATCTTGATGAAGAAATTCAGTCTAAAGAGGAGCATTTTCATAATTTCTATTTCCTGATTGCTTCAGTTCCTGAAGAGTGAATAGCTACTAACATGCAAATTAGCTGATCTCATAAACCAACCAGAATAATTACTGGGAGATTTGCTCTGTCTGTGCCATTGCCCACAAGTGATTGCAAGCATATTTCAAATTCTTGGCATGTGTATGACTGCTAGAGAAATGGGGACAAAGAAAACAGCATTTTTCTTTGTTTGGGATTCTTGAAGTTTTCTGAAACTGAAATGAGTTTATGGTATTTGGTCAATTCATATGCAGACAATGCTTAGTAGAGTCTTGTCTGCAAAGTTTTATGCCGATGGCCCACCCCCCTCTGCCATTCACAGAGATCATATTACTATTATACCACAATCCATTGCACTTTGTAAATAGGCGGTGGACATTCTGTCATACAACTGCCTTTCTCCATTCCCAAATTATTATGCATTATGAAATAATAGTAATAAAAGATGAGGGAATAAGGGAGAGAACAGTGCAGGGGGGCTAGGTGCACAGCTTTGCAGACTCACAGCTCCAGAAGGCATCCACTGAGAGCAATATCTGGTAGCTGTGAAGGTGGCACTGAGGGGAAGATTTTACAAGAAGCAGAAGCCTGCAGCCAATGGGATACAACACCAGTAGCCGTGCAGGCATAGCATCAGGACCTAGGATTCTTTATGACCCCTTGGTTTGATCTTTGCTAGCTGCACACCTCAGAGTAACACATGTCACCTATATTTGCATAAGCTGGAGAGCGCTACACTGCACAGAACAATGTGGATTCCCCTGGTTCTCACTTCTCAATTGATAGACAGCTACATTTAGTAAAACAAGTAACACATAGTTGATAAAACAGTAGGAGAGAGGGAGGTATAGGGTGTGGATAGATCCACTCTAATACATACCCCATACCAGGGACAGAAGGTAATTACTTCGGATGTTAGCATATACATATAAAATATTGATATAACAGAAGCTAACACAGATTTGCAAGTGTGCAAATACACTCTATATTCCATTGCTAATGTTAGTATTCTGTCTCCGTTTTAGTGGTTTGGGAACCTTGTGACAATACGATGGTGGAATGACCTTTGGCTGAATGAAGGTTTTGCCTCTTATGTGGAATATCTGGGAGCGGATTTTGCAGAACCCACTTGGAATATAGTATGTGGGACATTTTGTTCTTTTTTGACAATGAATACATATAAATGATGTAATAAGGGCAGAGATGAAAAGAATGGCTGATTTTGCTAGGGACCAAACAACCCTAGACTATAAACTTGGATAATCAAAACCTTACAACTAGTCATGGTTCAAATCCTTCATTGCAGTTATAACATATGGTATTATTTATCTATTCCCTTTCAACTCCAACTGATTAGACTTTTTGTTTCTTATTAATTCTACTGAAATTAGAATAGTGACCATTATCTAATCAAATAGAGAATTGTGCAGAATATGTATTGACATATGACATATTGACATGTGTATTGACAAGAAAACACATACATGCAATCATGATAATTGTTTAAATATATACTGTAAGATATAAGTTATATGTTATATTACAGTATAATAACATTAAAAAGAAAAAAAGGTTCCAATTTACTCATGAATTCCATGGCAACCAACCACATTCTAAGCGACAAGTGACTGTCTGTTATGTACAAAACATTATGTGCTGCCTCCCTCTGGGGTGAGTGATGTAAGAAAGCAAACAGTGTATACATATCAAACTATATGGATGTCAGCATGCTCTATTAGTAGTCAACAAGTAGTCAGTGCTTTATTAAAGTGTTCATCAGGACAAGATTAAAAGAAAACATATTCAGTTCATCTCTCTAGTACATGCATATTTACCTATTTTTTGTAGTTTTACAATTGCTGCAAGTACAGAAAAATATCTGTTGACCTGCCAGAAATCCAACAAGTTCCTAACTGCCTGTAGTGAGCTTTTAACAGGGTGCGTCTGCTGCTCTGAAATCACAAGCAATGTTGTCACGTCTCTTCTGGACAACAGAACAACTCATCCCTGTCATACTTCCCAGCTGTCTCTTTTGGAACCAAGTCATTCTGTCACCCTACTCCTCAGTTTTCATTTTTTTGGACTGGTGTGCAGATATAGAAGAAAAGGTTCTATGTAACTACCTTAGATTGTAAGCTCCTTAAATGGTAGGGGCTGATGTGAATGTGCAATTATGTAAAGTGCTGCGTAAATTGTCGGCGCTATATAAATACTTGTAATAAATAAATAAAACTAACAAAAGTGTAATTCTGCACTAAAACCTTTATCTTATCTCTTAAATATTGTGTTTGCTATTTCGAAAAACCAGTATAAAGGAAACGTAATGAGGAACAAGAAAAAAAAACAATTCTGGATTTAACCAATCAGTTTTTGGCATATAAATTCTTAATGGTCAACATAATGTGGCATGGAAGAGATGTGTCCATTGTCTAAATACATTGTGCTGGAAGGTGACCTGCTTTCTCATCTCAGAAAGTTAGAAGGTATGATATGTTTTTGAGAAGAAGAGGAGGTATGTGTTCTTTAGTCCCGCATAAGAGAACTGGCCGGAGCTGACAACATTACTTGAGATTTCAGTGCAGCCGAGGCACTGTGTTGTCAGCTAAATACAGGAAGTTAGGAGCACACTAGATTTCTGATAGATCCAGATAGGTGTTTATCTGTACATAGGGAAATGTGCATGCCTTGGAGAGATGTACTTCATGTGTGTGATTTTGTCCAGATTTACAGGTGAAACTCGAATAATTAGAATATAGTGCAAAAGTAATTGCAGTAATTGCTGCAAAAGGGGCCCAAACCAAGTACTGAGTACATATGCATGCTTGTACTTTTCAGAGGTCCGATGTTGTTCTATGTACAATCCTTGTTTTATTGATTGCATGTAATAATCTACTTTTTTGAGGTTGTGGATTTGGGGTTCTTGGGGTTTTCATGAGCTGTAAGCCATAATCATCACAATTATGACAAATCACAGCTTGAACTATCTTGCTTTGCATGTAATGAGTCTATCTCATATATTAGTTTCACCTTTTAAGTTGCATTAGTGAAATAAATTAACTTTGCACGATATTCTAATTATTCGAGTTTCACCTGTATGTTCTACAATGCAAAATGTACTGTATAAAGTGAGAATTGCACATTATTTGTGCATTAGTGAAAATTTTATTTTGCCAGGGCTTTTTTTATCCAATCATTAAATATTCATTCATGTGCAGGAAAAGTGCAACGATCATTACAAAGAGTGAAAATTACTCATCTAGTCATTCAGTTATCCATAGAGGATACTATTAAGATTGAATGTATAGTCTTGCCAATACCTTTACATTGAAAACCATACCGAAGAACCATATTGACTGATGCAGGAACTGAGATATTCGTTTGCCAATAGAATAAGTAAAATCATTTCACATATATTTTTATATGCACTTTATTTTACAGAAAGACCTGATAGTACTGTATGATGTACATAGAGTGATGGCAGTCGATGCCTTGGCTTCTTCCCACCCTCTTACATCAAAAGAAGATGAAGTGAATTCCCCAGCAGAAATAAGTGAACAATTTGATTCCATTGCTTACAGCAAGGTGAGTGTTCTCTGTCTGCCAACTGGTCTTATGTAAGGATGATAAACAACGTTCCACTAATACTATAACCCCACCTCACCGATTCAGTACACAACGGTGGTTATTCACAAAGCTGCTGATTGGCTATTCACTTCAGCCTTGTAAGGCTGAAATCAGCCTTACATCGGCTGCCTTCGGTCAGCCGTTCGGCTGAGCTGAAGTGCAGAGGAAGCTCCGGCAGCTCACTCGCTGCCATTTGCCCCTATTCTCATAGGGGCCGAGCGGCAGTGAGTGAACAGCCAAATGCCGCTGAGCCGCATTCGGCTCTGCTATTCTGCTCGGTACCTCCGAGATACCAAGCAGAATAGAAAAAGAGTGAAATGAGTGGGGAAAAAAAGTTGAAAAATCATTTAAAAAATTTAAATAAATAGGAAAATTAGAAAAGAATTAAAATAGTTTCAAGAAAAGAAAAAAAAAAGAAAATTACAAATAATTTAAAAAAAAACACCGGCAAAAATGACGGCAAAAGAAAAACAATTGGGCGGAGCTAGTAGTGACAGCTAGCTTCACCCAACTGTTTCCTATTGGCCGGCACCTGCCAGAGTCTTCTAGCAGGTCCCAGCCAATAAATAACAACTGGGTGGAGCCGGCTGTGACGTCATGGCCGACTCCACCCAGTTGTTGTCGTTTAATGACAGATCAGCGTCCCCAGGTCATTTGGGGACGCTGATCTGTCATTACAACTGGGCCGAGGTAACCGTGAGATCACGGCTGGCTCCGCCTAGCTGTCATTTGCATGTAGATCGGTTGGCTTCAGCTGACCTTTCTCCACACTTCGGCTGTCTCTTTGGCTCAGTCGAGCCGAAGCATAAGCCTTTGGCTCGGCTGAGCCACCCGGCTGCCTTAGTCTACTGTACGGGCTATAGCGAATAGCCCGTACAGCAGCCCTTCGGTTCAGTCAGAGGTGGCCGAAGAGAGCTGAAGGATCAGCCGAAGCTATGGCTGGATCCTTCGGCTCTTTAGTGAATAACCCCCAACATTTTCTTATATAGAGGAGGTAAACTCAGCCAACACTACCAACACAAAGGAAGCAAAGACTGATGAAATCAAAGAAAACACTCTGAAGGTCACCTATTCAACCACTGCAAAAATGTTCCCAGCATCCACAACAACGTTCTTTTTGTATCACCTTATGCATCATGTAATTAGTGAATGGACTTTTGTCTATAAGTCAGTTTAGTGTGATTGATAGTTATCTTGCTTAAACCTCAATACAAATGTTTTGATTGCTGGCTAGCCAGGTTACATTCTAGCTTCTTATAGTTGTTAGGGACTCCAGTAAAAAGATATCCACACTTTTCCCAGGTCCAGCCAACTTTCAGGACCATCATAACATCTAATATTTGTTTCACACTCCCGCCATGGATTCCTCCAATGCAGAAAAATAAAGATGGGAGTTAATTTCTAATTGAGTGACCCCTTCATTATGGCCTTATCAAAAGTGGAGACAAAAATTACTCTACAGTAATGTCACCATCCTAGTGCCCAGTATAGGAAGCTGACAGGTGATTACACCAACCAGTGTCCACAATTTGCAGAAATATGCATTTTCAATGGAGTTGGGCTTTATCATCATAACCATGATAATAACAACAGTAGTAATAATAATAATAATAACAACAATCCTATGTGTCATGCTTTCTTCTAAACTTGTATATACACCTCGTATAATCTGTTTTGTGCAGGGTGCATCAGTTATTAGAATGTTGTCCTCATTTCTCACTGAAGAGCTTTTTGTGGAAGGACTGGCTGTAAGTATCTCCTGACTATAACCAGTCATTACAATGTATATAATCAGTGCTAAAGTAAAGGTGCAGAGACATTCCCATAGCTGTTCAAAACTGAACACATAATAGTTGCTCATCAGCATTTACTCTGTTTTAGGAATGCAAATTTTATTATGCAGCCAAGGAAAGCCATAGACAGGCAAATATCAAGAGAGCAATGAGTAGGAAGGTGTGCACCCCTGAATTAACAAATTGATGGAACATTAGGCCCCACGTGACCATAACAATGGCACATACTCAGTATTTTTGTATTTTGATCCTTTCTATTCTCTCACCAGATAGGAAAATCTCCTTAAACCACAAAGCACTTCTGAGATGTCACTTCTTTTGCATGAGAGATAACAGGATGTCAAACAAAATCTCACCAGTAAAGCGGGCCATATACTATTAGACTACATATGGAAATGGTTCTTAGGAGCAGGGAATAATAGGAAATAGTCTTCCAAAGGACTAAATCTATTATCGTCAGCTTTAAAAAAGGATAGTTTGCTTTTCTAAAAGTACAAAATATAAAAGCCTACATATGAGATATTTAATATCTCATTGGTTTTGGGGTCAGAATTTTTTTTTCATGTAGTTTACCTGGGATTAGGGTTTTGAGGGTTCAGTAACTTTTTTGTTTATTGAATTTGATGGACTTTTTTAACCTATGTTTTGCTATTTAACTTTATACTTTATAACTGCTTTACATATAACACAGAAAAAATAGAGAGAGGAGAAACAGCCAGGAGAGACGGCCAGGAGAGAGAGAGGAGAGACGGCCAGGAGAGAGAGAGGAGAGGCGGCCAGGAGAGCGGGAGAGGAGAGACGGCCAGGAGAGCGGGAGAGGAAAGACAGCCAGGAGAGTGAGAGAGGACATACATCCAGGAGAGCGAGTGAGAAGAGACAGTCAGGGGAGAGGGTGGAGAGCGAGGAGAGACAGCCAGGAGAGAGCGAGAAGAGGCAGCCAGAATAGAGTGAGAAGAGACAGCCAGGAGAGAGAGCGAGGAGAGACAGCCAGGGGAGAGAGCGAGGAGAGACAGCCAGGAGAGAGAGCGAGATGAGACAGCCAGGAGAGAGAGCGAGAGGAGACAGAAAGGAAAGAAAGAGGGGAGAGCGCAAAGCGAGACAGCTAGGAGAGAGAGCGAGGAGAGACAGACAGGAGAGCGAGAGACAGGATATTCAATATCCTGGTGGGAAGCTGTGCGGGGTCTTAGGGCTGTACATGGTCTCAGGTGAGCTGTGCAGGTGTCAGTATCGGTGCAGTAGCATCCCTAGTGAATTATAAAAGTGCACTGCGCTTTATAGACCAACTACACATACAATCTAATAATAATCTACATGTGTAATAAATGTATAAATACGCAGAATCACCCTATGGTGAATAAATACAATATATAGTGAACAAATACCTAATATGTATTATTTACCATAGGGTGATTCTGCATATTTCTGTATTTATTTCACATGTAGATTATCATTAAATTACATATGTAGTTGGTCTCTATAGCGCAGTGCACATTTATAATTCATGTTTTTTAGGTGTTATATACACTTTTTAGCATGGTAGCTTGGGGGTTTGTTGTGCAATAGCACAGATCCTGTTTGTAATATTATCTATAGGTGCATCCCTAGTATTGAGAGCCCAGTAAGCTTTGCTGCAGCCATAGAACTTGATAATTACATTTTCTTTAAAAATTCTAAATCCTGCTTCAGCAGCATAGATTGAACTAGAGAAGCAATGTCAGGAACCTGCTCTGCATATGTATGTATAACACAGAGTATATGTATCTGTTGCATACATATACTGTGGCATATATGGGCACTTACTGGATATGAAGGTCTGGAGAGGGGAGGGGACACAGCGTGGGTGACATCTCAGGGCACGGTGCGGGCTCCCAGCAGGGCCCCAGACAACACAGGAGAGCGGAGTACGGAGAGCAGGGGGTGGGGCCGGGTTGATAGTGGGCGGAGCCCGGAGCCACGTCTATGCTGCTGTATGTAGCCTCCTGTCTGTAGATCACTGATGCTGTGTACACAGACGGGGCTGGTGCAAGCCTAATTGCCTACACAGGTGAGGCTGCCAGCCCTGCACGTGTTTACCTTATGTTGGCTGAAGGGGCAGCTGTTTTTGGCCCCACAACAATGATTGGGCCCTGGGCAGCTGCCCCTTTTGCCCTGCGTTAAAGACGGCCCTGCATGTCAGTGGCACAGTAATGAAGGTGAAATCTGCCAGTGCTGACACCTATTCTGGTTTCAACTGTCCATGTCTCCAGGACAGAAAGTGAAGACAAATCTCCCTAATGGGACACATTTTTTACTATGGATATACAGTATGTAGAATGTGCAACATGTAGGTGTGGATGAAATACTGTATGTGTCCATAATGACAGCGGCTTTAAATGTCTATTCATGCCATTGTCACTGAGAGCCCAGAACAGCTTTAAACCATCTGATTAAGAACATTTTCAAAAACATAAGTAATATTCATGTCTGATTTTTCACTGTTACCCTGGGGTAGGTGATATTTACTGTGCTATATGAATCTGCATCACTTGATATTTATCATTTATTTTTAAGTATTTAAATGATTCATAATAAAAGATGTAGGTTTTAAAAAGATACACTATCTGATGTTATACAAGCTACCTTAAAAGTTCCATATAGACTCATTTTCTATCAGTTATTCATGTCATTCACCTACACAAAAACAAATACAGGAAAACATTGTTGTATTTTGTTTTCTAGAGCTATTTGAAAGCTTTTCAATATTCCAATACAGTATATGCTGACCTATGGGATCACCTACAGATGGTAATTTAACTAACTTACTTAAAAACTTAAGAATTAATTGTGTATATTTTATGTGTAACACTTGGTACCTATAGAAGGGGCTACAAATATAGGCTAAAAATATCAGTTTCAGAATTAACTAACAGCAAGCATGCACACATCAGTGTTCGTAAAGTCACTAAACAGACATAAGATTCGGTATTATAGCTAACACCCCTGCAATTTATACTCTTAATAATACATACAACACACACAACAATGCAAGGGTATTAATACAAACTACATATAGATAATTCTCCAGAAAAAGAAATTAGGCTACTCTTCGGGAGTGCCACAGAGATACATAAACAGAAAGAAATATACACTTAGTATGGCTGAGTACTGTTAAGGCTCCAGAATATGTATCCAGACTGTGAGGCATCACTTCAAGTCTGCCAATGCACAGAATAAAGTGTGAAGCCATGGTCATGATGTCAAGCAAAATTACACCATAAGGTGGCATATGCTACCTGTGATTTTGCACTTAACATATTCTAACAGACATAAGTACAAAGCACACCCATTTGCCTTCAGAGAAGGATAGATAAAGCAGCTCCCCTTAATACAATTGGTTGTGCTAAACAAATATATGTAGAAAAAACTATTAAGTTGATTATAGTTACCTGCCTCTATTTCCCTTGCCTCCCCAGTCTCACTGCTCTGCCCTCCACAGGTTAAAAGCCCCTGCTGCCATTAAAAAAAAAAAAAAACAAGTAATTTTCAGCCGCCCTTTTCATTACTCTCTGCTGGACCATCAATGACGTCTGCACCTGATCTTACGCATGTGCTGTAGCAGATCAGGCCCAGTTTGTTATCGTGTAGACGTTGTCATGGCGTTAGCCAATACACCATATTTGGGGAAAAATGCCTTTTGCCCAGGATCTTGCAATTTGCAAATGAGATCCCTGGAAGGGAATGATAATGTAGCCTTCTCAGGGGGCACCTGTGAAGCCCTGGCTACATCACTAGTGCCTCTGAAGACCAGGACCAACACTACTACATTTTACCTTAAACATGGTTATAGTTCAGAATGCATGTTTTTTTTTAGCTGTGGGGGGAAGTTTTTGCTTTAAACCAAAAGCTGCATACTCCTGCATTGTGTCAATAGAAAATTGATGTGTTACGCCAGGTTAGCTTAATGAGAGCTTCATATACCCTCCAATTGTCGTAATTTCAGAAGGTGACAAGTGCCTGCTCACTTCTCCATTGCCTTTCTCATTCTCACTGGTTTGTCTCTCTTTATTTGTGATGAAAACCCAGCTTGTTACATTATACAGCATCAATAACAGAGTCTTATTTTATTTATTTTTAGGCTGTAGATAAACAGAACAATGTAACACTTCCTGATAGTGTTAGCGCCATCATGGACACCTGGGTCTTACAGATGGGTTTCCCTGTGGTAACAATAAATACAGCAACAGGTTCTTTAGACCAGAAGCACTTCCTTCAAGATCCAGACTCAGTCGTCACTCGTCCATCACCATTTAAGTAAGCTGATGCGGTATTGAAATAATAGACTAATACATGAGTTAGGTTTTAGAATAATGAATTACTCATCTGGAATATGCAGTTCAGTTTTGGGCACCAGTTCACAAAAAGGATGTTGTGGAACTGGAGAAAGTGCAGCAAGGGGCGACCAAACTTATAAGAGGCATGAAGGAGCTCAGCTATGAGGAACGATTAGCTGACCTGAATTTGTTCTCTCTGGAGAAGAGGCGATTAAGGGGGGACATGATCACCATGTATAAATACATAAATGGTCCATATAAAGAACATTGGTGCCAAATTATTAACTTTAAGGTCACTGCAAAGGACAAGGGGGCACTCTTTGCGTCTGGAGGAAAAGAGGTTTAACCTTTGCATACAGAAAGGATTCTTCACGGTTAGAGCTGTGAAAATGTGGAACAGACTTCCCCAGGAGCTAGTTCTAGCTAGCTCGGTTAAAGTGACATTAAACCCTCAGATTTTTTAACATAAAACAATACTGTAATGTGTGCTTTACTGTAATCCATGGTTGTTTCCCTTCTCTTTGCTGCTCTTCCTTTTAAATCTGTATCTGTTCTCATGCTGGGCAGAACTTCTGTTTTGCAGCAGACTGCCTTGTCTCTGAAATGGATACATGGTGTCTGTGTGTAGGTTTGCAACCTGAGCCAGCACTACAGGAAGAGGCACTCAGCTGCAAAGGGAAGTTCTCCCCAAGCATGAGAAGACATGAGGATTTAAAAGGAAGAGCAGCAAAGAGAAGGGAAACAACCATGGATTACAGTAAGGCACACATTACAGTATTGGTTTATGTTAAAAAATCTGAGGGTTTAATGTCACTTTAATTGTTTTAAAAAACATCTGGATGTATTCCTAAATGCACAGAATATTACTGGATATTGAGTTCTTAGAGGTATATTAAGCATCAGAGATTGTTGATCCAGGGAATATCCGATTGCCATGCTTTATAGGGTTTTTTTTTGCCCTCCTCATTGGGTAATTGTGGGCATAGTGTTCTGTTTAGGCTTTTCTTCTTCTTTTTTTTCCTCTTCTTTGTATCTCTATAGGTTGGACTCGATGGACTTGTGTCTTTTTTCAACCTGACTAACTATGTAATTACAGAAATGTTTAGAAGAACAAAAAACAGAAAGCTTGAAGAATGTATCATGCTGAAAGCAAACTTGTCACACAAGGCTAGCAAGAACGGTTGTAGAGCAGGATGAGATACAACAGGAATCACATAGCAGGAGTCTCTCTCCGGGTGTGTGGTTGTCTGTTTCTTATCACTCTAGATTTTTTTTTCAGTTCTTTAAGATTTTTTTGAAAAATGGCTGCGTCCATAGGTGATGGGATATGCCTCTTAGGCCTTCTCTGCTGCTTCCTGTAGATCGTTTGCGGATCTTTGAGCTTTAGGCTACTTATACAGTGATGAGGCTTTATTGCCTGTCTGTATATATGTATATAACATGGAGGTGTACTGTATATTTATATTTTGGTTTCTGTACAGTTTATACTTTGTTTATGTTTTTTACTTTTGTATAAACGTTGCTTGATTCTTTTAATAAAAGATTATCAGGAATCACATATACCAGAAAATACATGCTGTCATTAACAAGTAATGGCCAGTGGCAAATATATACCCTTTGTTTAACCCCTTCATGACTGAGGCCCTTTTTTCCATTTTTGCACCCATGTTATATTCCACAATACCAGTGATTTTAAATTAACATTGAAAGTCCACTGCTGACTGCACAATTGCTTTGTAAGGCTCTCAGTTCTTTCAGCAACTGAATTTTTGGTTAAACTATTCCTCAAACCCCCATTAAAGGTGCTCATATAATTATATCTAAAAAGTACCAGGAATTGAGCTTATTCTGTGGGGAACACTGGGACCCAATGCCAAGCACTTCATGGCTAACGGTCAGTATTCTGGCTATGGGTGTGTATTAGACGAAAAACACAGGTCTCCACATGCCAAGCACAGCAAACACATTAGAGATCCCCTGTTTAACATCAATATGACAACTGCTGTGGTAGGAGAGGCACATGTGGCAGCAATGGGTAGAATGATGGTTTCTCAACTCCAGTCCTTAAGTACCCTAACAGTTTCAAGTCTTCAGGGTTTCCTTCAGATGAAACAGCTGTGACATATTTAGCTAAAAATGTGAATGAAATCATATGTGGAGGAAAACTTGAAAAAAGTGCTGGGGATAAGTGAGGACTAGAGTGGTATTAATTATTCAAATGAGTCAGTCACACAGCAATAACATTTTCTTAGTGGAAGCATACATACCGTTGTAAATAAGGTAAAAAAAAAAACCCCAATAAAGATAAATAAAATGTAATACCTGTAAAGAAATTATACATACGGACATAACACATGCACAAGCAGGTAGACAAAGAGAATACTATACAGTTACACACTCTAAGCCCTCGTTCACACCTGAACGTTTTGTAGCGCGTTCTACGCTCGACGAACGCTCTACAAAACGCTCAAAAATATAAATCCCATTGTATTCAATGGTCTCATTCCCACCTTGACTTGACATAACTGCCTTCTGGACATTCCAGGTAGAGGTATATCTTAGGGGCACTTCTGAGATTAAAAGATAAGTTCACCTTTTGCAAAAATTAAAGAAACACATAATTAATAATATATATAAAAAAATGCCTTGCCTTAATATATGCATTCAAGCCTGGAAAGCATTGCAATTGTGATCAGAGCAGCAAAGCTCAGGCTTCTGCACATTCTCTCCCAAACAGAGCTCATACTGAGGTACGGAGTTTCAGTTAGGAGAGATGGGGAAGGACGACTGGACTTCAAATTGCAATAAATCACCTCATACAGCATCCAGCCATCCTCGCTCTAGGTAGATACAGGAATATGAGCAGCTCTACCTAGAGTGAGGACGGCTGGATTCTGTATGAGGTGATTTAATGCAGTTTGAATAACAGCTTCTAATGCCAAGGGTGTACTTATTTTTCCATCGTACACCATTACATCTATTAATATTTTTGTTGAATAAATGGTTGTAATTTCAAATTTTTCTTGTGTTTGTATTCAAGGTAAGGTGTATCACCTTTATCTGTAGGCATGGTTTGAACAGAGACCCAATGTTTGCCTGTTCAAATATGTTGGAATGGGAAACACTTTCTTTGGGATGTATTTTCACCATATATTAGAGCATCCAGCAGAGGAAGCTTTTGTTAATCAATAAGAGTATATGAAGATTATACAGCTCAAAATCTGACTAGTCATATCACTACTGAGATCCCACATAGCAGTTAGATTATATCCTCACCCACCTAGAAGTGGGTAATCAGTATTAGGTGATGCTATTTTTTAAATAGGGTTAGCAGACAGGAAGTCACTCATGTGCAGGATAATTTGAAAATCTCCACATAAAACTTAGGTTTTAGTTTACAAGGTATTTAATAGTTTTGTTGTTTTAAATCCGTTTCAGCTACACCTGGAAAGTACCTATTTCATATCTTAGAAGTGATGGACACAAAGGAAATTTGTGGCTTCAACAGAGATCAGGTATGTAATACAGTATATTCCTTAATTAATGTGGCAAGTACCATTACAGCTGTTGCAAAACACAGGTCAAAACAGCACACATGCAGCTCAAGGCAACACGTTGGTGTGGATGGGCTCTATTAAAAACAATAGATTTTCTTATGCCTATGCATAGTTTGACATTACAGCCAGCATAAATTAGTCCTAAATTAGTCCTTAAGGTGTGGTGTCAGTCCCCTGAATTTTTTTAAATAAAAGTGCAATCATAATACTGCTTTACTTTACATTGCAACATAAAGTTTGATTTGCATTTCTCCTGCATTCTAGGCACACATGAAGAATTTAAGGTCTATGGAAATGACTGGGTTCTGGTTAACCTTAATGTCACTGGATACTACAGGGTTAACTATGATGACAGAAATTGGGACAGACTTCTGCATCAGTTGAACAATGACATATCAGTAGGTAGACGGCATTCTTATTGTGGTAGCCAAAATGAGTTTACTCAATAGGTTTGATTTACTAAATTAATAGAGACTGTTCACTTTTCCAAAGACCAACAAAATAGTTTATTGTGTTTCATTTTATTTTGTTTCTAAAGCCTGCCTGATTGTTCCCTCCAATTTATAAGATTCAGTGTGGAAATATTAACATTTAATATGGAAAGGAATAAAGAAAAATAGTGAAAAGTAGACAAACTGGTGAAACTAAAACACAAGAATCAAAAATGTTACACCTTCCGGATCAAAGGTTCCTAGACCAGCTTCTGTCTTATAAAGGTGTATCATGATCATGATGATGATGAATTATTATTATTCAACTTTTTGGGCTTTGCTGTGTCCACGTGTTAAGTTAGTGGCACCCTCTCAGTGTTAGTAACTTCTGTACTTATAATATATTTGAAAATAGATATTAGATAAGTGTGCCAATGTCTTTAAGTAGGTTTTATTGTGCTATTCCACTGCCCCTAAAGGTACCATATACCGAAAAATTTCTGTATGCTCCATTTGCACTATCGGAGGTTTCCTTTTTCAGTTGACATTGATATCCACAAAACATTCTCCACGTGCAGCTCTGGCACATGCTTTATTATTTTAGCAGCAATCAAATAAACTTTTCTGAAATGTTTCAACCTAGTTTTGATCAATGTCTCTGTAGGTGGTGCTGATCTTTTGTAGATGTTGTCCTTCATACATGGATATGTACTTGATTAAACTGTTCAGATCATGCGACGGTTTGACTCCATGTATTGTAATCTGGCACCATTACAAGTGATAGTACAGCTGTCACTTGAAATGGTGTTGCTATGCAGGTGTACATTTCCAGAGCATGTATAAAACACTCAAGAAAAGCATTTTATCTCATTTTGCTTTGCAGGCAATTCCTGTCATCAATCGTGCTCAGATCATCGATGATGCCTTTAATTTAGCCAGGTCAGTTATAAAGCTTCACAATTTGTGTGGAATGTGCTGTGCTTAAGGTTGTCATCCACCCTCTAGCATTCCAATTCTAAAATTTGCCATTGAGACATCAGATCTACATTCTTTTTCCTTCCGTTGGCTGTTCTTCTTTGGCAGCTGCAGATGCTACTGTGAAGAAAGGAATGACAGTACCTAACGGTGTAGAAAAATCAGTGTAGGGAAAGATACACTGGGGGACATTTATTAATTTGGTCGCACAGAAAGGCAATGCTACACAGGAGCAGTGGGACAGATGGTGTAGATTTACTGCAAGGTTAGATCTTTATTCTGAAGAAGCACTGGAATAGAATGAAACCTGTCCTCGACCACTTCCTAATTGTATGTCTGTTTAGAGTAAAAATCTGCCTCATCCACAGTGATAAATCTGTCTCAGTCCTTTGCAATTCTGATACAGTTGGCTGCCCAGAATTACTGGCATACAGGTTAAAAATACACAGGAAAACTGTTGCATATACTTTGCAAAAAAGTGAGGCTGCCCAATTGGTGTCCAACTAATTTGCTTGATAAAGATCCCCCACCGGGAGCAACAAACAGAAAAGGGTCTGTACTAGGGACATTTGAAAGAGGGGTGCATTTAAATATAAAGTGCATACAGGAAAAGCACAGAAGAGGAAAGTGGACCAACATGGGTTTATAAGGAGATTACAGGAGAGGCAGTGAGGTTTAATTCAAAATATTATTAAGTACTGTTATAACTTTTATCCTCAGCACTGCTCCCTAGTAGTGTACTGACTATGCTTGCAGCTCTCCTGCTGCCTGTCCTTATTCCCACTTCACTCTGACACGTTAGTGGTCGGCTTTTATGCTATAACGCGCAAACAGACTCCTAAAGTCCCTACTTCTCTATTTGTTCTGGGTCTGGGTTAGCCTTACACCCAAGCAACTAGTGTTTTCAGAAGGAGAAGTCAGAAACGGCGGCCTCCATGTTTTTCCATGACAGTTTTCGTCAAAAAAAGTTTTTTTTTTTCTAAACCTTTACTATTTACCAAGCACAAACATTTAAATCCCATTATTTAATCCATGCCTGTTTACCATGCCCATTTCCACTACGCTACACCTAGTTTTCACATGTCACTTGCCATTTACCACACAATAATCCACTGTCTGGCTGTGAAAAAGGCCTTGCCCTCATTTCCTCTGGTGGGTCCCAGGACCCAACTTTGATAATACTGTGTAACACAACTAAGCTTTTATGCTTTTAGAACATTTGCCAAATGTATATATTTTAGAGATTGTGATTTATGTATTCTAATTGTTTTGTATTTTAGAGCTAAATATGTAAGCACAACAAGAGCACTTGAAACCACCACATTCCTATCCAAGGAGGTTGAGTACATGCCTTGGGCGGCAGCAATTAGCAGTCTTAGCTACTTTGTACAGGTGTTTGATCGCACAGAGGTGTATGGACCAATGAAGGTAAACAGCCATCTACTTATGTCAATTCTTATGACACCATTTTAGTTACTGCACTTTTTTTTCCTCTGATATCTAGTAAAATGTTTAGTGTACCTCTTATCTATTCCATACAAATGCACTTGCTTCATCTTCATAAGGAGGGAGAAGGCATTGAATGGTGACTGAACTATAGCCAAGAAAAATGTTCAACATTTTCCTCAATTAGGAGATTAGAATTAATTCTTTCTTTTATGGGTATGATGTATTCGCCATGTAGAGTGGGAACTGTTCAGCAGGTCACGTACTATAGAAACAGCCACTCTACAAAAAATAGATTAAAGTCAAAGGTGCCACAACAGTTACTGCAAACTAGGGAGTCCATTCAAGAGCAACTGTAAAAACACTGTGCACCCAAAACACCACACACTCCAGATTGACTGCAGCCCCCTGCCAAATCTCCATACATCCAATATTTCAAAAATATTGGAACTATAATCCTTAGACATGGCATGGTAAAAATTGGTCAACATCAGGATAGTATGTGAATGTAACCAGGTAGAAAAGGCTAAAATGTGGGAACCCCCAGCTCCCTGGAGTCTCACCTCGTACCATAATCACTAAGATAGGAGAAGAAGGGGGAAGAGATGAAGGAGGGTTAGGAGAAGGAGTAGACGGAGTAGGAGGTAGAAAAGGGGGAGGAAGAGGTCACATTATTAATGCTCAGAATGTACAACCTCCATGAGGCAGCACTTCTACTTCTCCTTTAGGCTTGCTTGTCTTCTCTTTTTTTCAACAGCCCTTTTTTGGGGAAAGGCAGTAGAATATCCCACCTCCAGTTGCTGCTGCCTGCCCTTCCCACTGCATTGTGGAAGGACGGGTGACCTATGGCCATATGTTTTTCCCTGCAGATATGCTTCTGGTGCCCTGACTCTAATTAAATAAATAAATAAAAATTAAAAATACAACCAGCTGCTGAGAATATTATGCTGGCAAAGGAAAGGAAATTTAGATGTGCCTAGCCTCTGCTGTGTGCAGTCCAACCACTGTATCATTACCAAAATCACAGAAAAAAATGAAATACAAATTAAATAATAAAAAAAATATTAAAAACAAAAAATGTTAGTGGGAATATGCCACCTGAGGGAACCCAGGCCAGAAAATGTTATCTAGATTACATGAGAGAAGAGATTGGATAAAGTGAGGCTTAGACCGCCAGCGATAGGAGGTGGTTATAATGCAGCTCCAGATGGCAGCTGATGTCTGCTGTACACTATGATATTTCTCTGCTCGCCTCTCCCACTCCTGCCTCTCCTTTAGGGATGTTCTATTAATAAAAATGTATCTTATTTGTGAATCACTCAGCTGTAGATACTCAAATTATCTCTGAATTGGTGCTGACACTGTCCTTCCTTCTGGAGGGTGGCTACTTTTGCTCCCCATGGTCCTGTGTGTTTTGTAAAGTAGCCACCGTTCCAAGCTCACTCTTGTGATGTACTACAATCAACTTGTTTCTATTGAGATTGTAGTCCAATTTAAGTTTTCTGCCTTTTTATCTCTTAGTGGTCCAGTATAAATTAAAAATTTTAAACTTAAAAAGTGAACTTGCTACCTTCAGGTCTAACCAGTGCTGAATGCTGGTGTAGCTGGGTAGCGGCTGTACCCATCTTTGCAAGTGTCCTTGCATAGACTTGTATTGCAGAGAAAGAGAGGTGGGTGAGTCAGGCCAGGTCTGTTACTGAGTGATGATAACTATGAGCCCTAGTTCCAACACTGGTGCCTACTGGGCTGCATAGTCACATTTATACACTTTGTACAGCTGCTGTAACAGGAAAGTGGAAGTAGGGCTATGAAAATTGAGGTTGTTAAATGCCCTAAGGTGAAAAAACTCTGTATCCAAGTATATGCTTTAATCAATTCTACGCTGGTCTGTAATCCCTGTTACATAACCATATACAAAGTGTCTGGAAACGCCACTGAATCCTGATTACTTACATTTGTATAGCCACAAAACAGACCATAGCAAGGTTGTGGAAGACTCCTACCTTTAGCCTTAACAAAGTAAATACAGATTACGGGCACTATGGCTAATGAATATTTATCCACAATTCTGGCTGACTCTCATGATAAGTTTTTAAAAACTTGGTAGCCCTGGATCTTATATACTAGCCCCAAGAACTGCAGTGCCTTCCTCACAAACCTCCTGAACTACCCTTCTTATGCCTTAGGTTGCCACGCCTTGACCTTCTGCTTTCTTTGGTCTTATCTTCTTTTGTTCTCCTCTTCTTTCTTTACTACCTAACTCCCTTATGCCTCTCCCTTTCTTAGCCCTAATACTCCCCCCAACATCTAACCCACCTCTCCTCTTGGGAACTTCAGCCCATTTCTCGGTTGATCGCTCCACCTTAGAATGACACAGTTGTCACATAACCAACCTATCTGAAAAACAATTCTGGCATTTAGAATATAAATAGGTTAAAAATTAATGAATGCCAGAAAAGCCCTCTGTCTCCAGTACGTTACTCCATATCAGGTTCACCCTGACCTACTTATTTTACAATTTCTTAACACATTATGTTATAGACCAGGTATGTCCACTCTTTATTCTGGCTGCTGCATCAGCCCATTCTGCCACTGCTGATCCCACAAGCTCTTTCTATTTTGTTGGAAACCAATACAAACTTTTTTTTAGGTTTGAACATTTGCATCAGGAGTTTCCCAGAGTGCTACCAATGTCACAGACATTTATATCAAGTTGTTCTCTTTCAGATGCAGATATATGCAATTAAATACCTCCTTAGACACTGCCTGTGCAGCCAGTATGGCCACTTGGTGAATTGGCAGAATCCACAGGCAGCTTAACTCTTCAATATCTGTTCAGAAACAGAAGTTGAATCCAATGTGGTTTTACTTCAGATAAGTGCATTGCAGAGGATGTTTTTCCAGTCTTTTGATGTGTAAGAAGACAATGACGTTCCTAAGTGCTGTCTCTGCTTGAAAAGTGATACCAACTTTTCAACAAGGTAAGACAGGGGTTGTCTAGCTAGGGACTGTACCAACTAGCACCAACAGGATGAGGGGAGTAACAGGGGCAAACATAACAAAGGCAAAACCGTAATAGTCAGGCTGCTGTGCAGCACACAAGCAAACCCTCATCCCCAACTCCTGAAATCAGTAAATCAGTTCATATCACATAAGATATGGTCAGCATAAACTAAACATGTAATGTTTTCCTACAGGCCTACATGAGACAGCAAGTTGAACCATTGTTTTTGTACTTTAAGAACAAGACAAATAACTTTACTCAGAGAATGCCAACTTTAACAGAACAGTAAGTAAAATACGATATATATATAATTTAATGATAGTTTTAGTTTGTGCTCGAGGCAGACAGTGCAGTGCATGTGTGCTTCAGAGAGATCCCTTCTCTAACTTAATAAATTGCAGGTAAAAGTACCAGAAATCAAGTATTTTAAATATTTATGAGTGTTTTTCCTTTCCATAAATTATGTATAATTCACTTGCAATGTGCCTTTGAACTCGGTGGAAAATTTGACTACTACTAGCACAGCACCCTCCCTCCTTGCACATCATAACCCTCTCTTCTTCTGGGAGTATCTAATTACTCTCAGTGCTGCCCCAGCTCCTCTGCCCCTTTACCTCCTTACATAACCTTCTCTGTAGCTGCCAGGGGAGGAGTAAAGGTAAATACTTGAGTGAAAGCTCCAAGTCTGCTGGTGTTGCTGACATCACATCCATGACGTTGGCACCGTATATCAGTCTCAGGGCTTTTAGCTGTCTACACATGGGAGGCTTTTTCAGGTAACAACAAAAATGTAAATGCACATATAACATTATGGGAAGATTTTGGTTACAATAAATGGTCTGGTGACAGGGTATCAGTTTAACACAGTTTAACTCATATTGGGATCAGTGATGAAAATCTGTAAGCAGGTATAGGGATATGCTTTCATATTCATTGGAATATAGATATATACTTGAATTTACCAGGCAGTTTTTTGGGCACATTCACATAGCTGCATTTTGGTCCATAGCGTTTAGCTGTGTAAACTAAAACAAATCTGTGTTCATGGTCTGCATCTGACTGTGCGAATGTTTACATGACTAACACCTAAATAGACATGGCCATATGCCGCCTAGTGAATTCAGGGCCAGGTGATATGTACACATAAACAATGTGTAGGCACCAGTGCAGGCATGGAATGACCTTGGCCTTCTGTCATTCAGAATGACTGAATGTCAAAGTAATTCTGCACCTGCACTGTGGCTGATGCATACACATTGTTGATGTTTAAATCTTGCCCATGGACATGAATGAGCCATGCACTAGGCAGCAGCACTGACACAGGTGCAGAATGACTGAAAGCCAAGGTCCTTCTGTGCCTGATTGAGTCATTCACTAGGCAGCAGTGGCAACACTGGTGCAGAATGACCTTGGCTTTCAGTCATTCTGAATGAATGTCTTTGTACATAGCACACATCTCAACTTATACGGACATAAGTGGGTGTATGTCTGTATAAGTTGGAATGCACTACGGACCACTTTTTACACAGGATATTGGTGTCAGCCTTCTGCCAGCAAGATCCTACGTATGCTTGTGCAAGAGGCCTTACTCATTCTTAGGTGGAATTTCATGTAGGGTAGTAGGTCTGCTCTCTGCTCCTCTCCAAGACCTGCAATGGTGGAACGTTCTGAGTCTGACATAAATGGCATATCAGAGTTCAGCTTTCATTTTAAGATGTGAAAATCAGAACAGGGATCGGTTTACTATGGGAAACACATATCATTTTCCATTCAAAAATTCTAACACATTGCTGCCACCATTATTAGTGCTTTTGGAATCTCATACATGACCCAAATGTTTAACCATTCACAGTAGTGGAAATGTTTTAATGAATATTTTACTATTTTTTTAAATCATTTTTCTACAGGTACAGTGAAATAAACGCAGTCAGCACAGCCTGTGCTTTTGGCATCTCAGAATGTAGAGAATTAGCAACCCGGCAATTCAGAGATTGGATGGAAACTAATGTAAATAAGTATGTATTTTTACCAGGGGTTTAACTAGAAATTGCAGGGCCCCATAGCAACATTTTGTATGGGCCCCCTCCCCAGCAAACCACGCATGGGCTTGATGTGAACGGGCCTAACACTGCCACACCAATAGAGGCTGGGGAAATGGGGGTTATAAATTGTAACCCCACTTTTCCCAGCTTCCCTGGGGTGGCAGGATTATTTTAAGTTATAAATACACTGCCACATTATAGAAGTGCAATTAACCCTCTTTCCCGAGTTTCTTTAGTGTGGCAGTGTAATTATAGCTTAAAATAACACTGCTCCTCTCAGACTGGGATGACTTCATTCACAAAGACTTGTCTGTGAACCATAAATCTGACCTGAACTCATTTATTCTAGCCACCACAGGCCGACCGCTGATAAGCAGGGGATCCTCTCCCCCACCCCCTTCACCAACCCAAGTGACTTAGATCTATTACACCCAAAGACCTCTGAAGCTATGTCCCCAATCATATACGAGAACTGTATTTACTGCTAATTTATTACATCGTTATTCTGGTTATCGATTTATAGATTTGTTTTATTACACTTAATCCTATCCTATCTCTGAGATCCATCTCTGGATCTATTTCATACATGCGATTTCAAATATTTGACTTATATTTGTAAGTTTTATTCTAACAAATCAACATTATGTCTTTCTCGCATAAGACGCACACCCTGTATCTAATGTTGTAAATCTGTCAACAGTTTATACGCATTTCCTATGTTTGTTCATGCATATTTTTCAATAAACAATTTTGCTAAAAAAAATAAATAAATAACACTGCCACACCAGTGAAGCTAGGGAAAGTGGGGTTACAAATTATAACCCCCATTTCCCCAGCTTTCCTTGATGTTAGTGTAGAGATTACAACATTGCAGCCATCCAATAACCTGCCATTTACCATTTATTTGCCCCAGCTCACCGTCCCCTTTAGAAAAGTGTACCAGTACCTTCCTGCTCTGTCTCCATCTCTGTCTCAGTCTCCTTCTGCTTGGCTCGGCTGCTGCTGGCTTTGACGTCAGAGCCGAAGAGTAGATCACTCTACTGCTGCGCTGTTACACTAAGCTGGTTGACAGGAGGCAGAGGCACAACAAATAAACAGTGGTGCGTGAGCACGGAACTAAGAAAAAGAAGTACCTCAGCCCTGCTCCTGACTGGGCTCACCTTTTTTTTTTTCTTATTTTAGAAAAAAACAGTGTTTAGGTCTTCTAAGAATGTTAGGGGGGACCCCTGATGTTAAAAAAATGTGTGGTGTTCCCCTACAGATTCATACCAGACCCTTCAGATGCAGATGAGCCCCCCTTCCCCCAGACCCTCACAACCACCGGGCTAGGTTTGTAGGGAAGAGGCCCTTTTCCTCATTCTCATGTGGACAAGGCGCTTTTCCACGGGGTTCCCCCTAATAGAAATCAGCTTACTCTTTACACTTTGAACGTCGCAGCTTTCAATTTTAAAATAGGCAGGATGTAGAATCATTGATCTGACATTACTGTAAGGTGGAATGGCCACATGCGAATATAAATCTAGTACTGATGCTAAAACTATAACTCAACCTCATTTGTGTGTATCCACAGTATTCATCCAAACCTGAGATACACCATCTACTGCAATGCAATAGCAAGAGGAGGAGAAGAAGAGTGGAACTTTGCATGGCAAGAATTTAAAAAGACAGACAATGCACAGGAAGCAGATAAACTGAGAGCAAGCCTGGGCTGTAGCAAGGAACCCTGGATCCTTAATAGGTAAGAATTCAATTAGCATATTCTCAACAATATTTGACAATATTTTACTGCACCAAAATGTATAGTTATTATGCTAATGCCCCCTTAGCTGATTTTTTAATCAACGTCCACCATACCTGTGACTATGTGAAAATCTGAACATTCAGATGCTGGGAACCAACGTGTAAGATCAGGTCATTGATATAACAGCAAAATTAGATGACCCCTGACCTCCTGAGACAAAGCCTGCACAATGGACTACAATCTTATGTTTAGTTTACTAATTTGTATTAAGATTGTAGTCCATCACAGGAGCGAGCTTGGAGTAATGACTACTCTACAAAATACACAGGGACAATGAGGACAAAAGTAGCCATCTTCTAGAAGGAAGGACCTTATCAGCACCAATTAGGGGTTGATTTGCGGATCTACAGCTGAGTAATACACAAATAAAGCATTTTTGTTAATAGTTGAGGTACTTGAATGCATTTTTAGGGTTTAACTCCTGGCATTAGTGTCACTTTTAGGGTTCGTTCACACCATAGGGCAGTGCGCTCCGGTCAGAATCGGACCGGAACGCATTGCGGCCGGCTCACTTTTTTGCCGGGCTGGAGGGGGCATGGCGGGCCATTGAAGTGAATGGCACTATAGCCACGCCCTGCGGCCGCACGGGATCGCAAGGCACATTGTGCCTGCAGTGCGTTCCGGTGCGATCAAAATGCTGCAAGCACTATTTTGATCACACCGGAACGCACTGCAGGAACAATGTGCCTTGCGATCCCTTGTGGGCGATCGCATTGTAGCCACAGGGTGTGGCTACGGTGCCAATCACTTCAATGGCCCACCACGCCCCCTCCAGCCCGGCAAAAAAGTGAGCGGACGCAATGCGGGCAGTGCGTTCCGGTCCGATTCTGACCGGAACGCACTGCCCTATGATGTGAACAACAGTACAGTATGTACGCAACAACATTGCATATTTAAGGAGGTGTTGGGAGGGAAGGACGATCTTTTACAATATTGTGACTGATCATCTAGTTATAGTGTTATAAAAATGGAGTAGCCTGTCTACAAGAGAGAACCAAGCAAGGATCTACGATAAAGTTTGGAAAAATGCTGTAACGTATAACGAGAACCTAGAAGAGATTATTTTTAAATTTGTTTTAACAAAACTGGAGATTCATTGTAATTGTACTTTTTCAGGCTGTTAGAGTATGCAGTGGATACCACAAAAATTCGTAGACAAGACTCTATTTCCACAATTTTAAATGTTGCTGGCAATGTGGTTGGTCAGAGTCTTGCCTGGGACTTTGTCAGAGGCCACTGGAAAACATTTCTTGAAAGGTAAGTGTTCCAACCTTGCTGTAAAGAAGGAAGGTACTTTGTGTGTGAATTTCTCTAAGAAACAATAGTAAAACATGTAATAGGATTTCCCATACATGAGAGAACAATGATGCTAGTGGAGTTCTACAACCCTGGTGGAATAGAGTCAGTCTGCTGAAAGTAATTGAGGAAAAGCATAAGAAGAAAAAACATGCTTTTAAAGATACAAATTTACTGTTTACTGCAAAATAATTCAAGAAGTGGGGTAAGAAGTATGCTTGTTCTGACTGGACTAGTAAAAAGGCATTTAAAGCTCAACTAGGGTTGCCACCTTTTCTTCAGGCCAAACCCGAACACTATAGCGCGTCGCGGCGATTTGTTTGTACAGTATACACTATGCATGTATTTTGTAAATAAATGACATTGGAGTTAATCACAACTTGCCAGCGTGCCGCAGATATGCATTCTGTAGATAAGACACAAGTGTACAAAGCAGCACCCATATACATTGCCGCAGTTCTTACCAAAAAAGCCAAAAGTAACGGGTGCCGGTAATGACTACGGATGGCGCTGCTCACAACAGAACAACAATACAGATGTCTCCAGCACACCGGCACCAAGATCAACACCCCAGAACGCAGGGAGGCTTTATATAGACAATCCCTCGCGGTTCCGGGCACGGGACATTGCGGTAGATGTGCGGGCTGGTGGAAACAAGGCCTTAAGTAGAACACCACACATACGTTTTATTTGTTTTGTGTGCGAGTATTAAAATATAACACATAAGATCTGTGTCCCCAACCTTCATTTCCTATTGTGTCACCTATAAAGAAATAGTGTCAGGTTTTGTTCCCCTGCCTGTATCCTTGATGTGTACTATTGCACATAAAAGATGCCCCCACAAAACATTTTTGGGGGGGGCATGTTTAATGGGCAATACTGATCCCCCCTTTCCAATTAATATTGCATTTGATCAAAATGTATTAACTTCACCCCTCCGTGTTTTTTTTCCCCTCGATACCCTCTTACCTTTTTCACTGGAGTTATCCACAATAAATATACTCACTGTTCTGTTGTAATCTACTGCTCCACAGCCACATGCCAGGTCCCATGCTGCTATTTACTTATGTCATCAGGAGCTGGTTGTCCCTTCCTGGTACTTGAAGCCAACACCCTGATGATGCGTGCAGGTCATCCTCAGTCCAGCCGCAGGTCCACCTTCTACCAGCGCAGGTTCACCCTCCTACAGCTGCCAGCAAGTTGTGTGACGAAATCGCTGCTCTCCACAACCCCTGCTAGCCGGCTGGCTGCCGGAGAAAGATCCGTCCCTCACGGCTCCCTCTCTCCCTGATGTCACTTCCTCCTACAGCCACGGAGGAGAGACACAGGAGAGGGAGAGTCGAGGGACGGGAAACAGCGCCACCCGGTGTCCGCCGCAAGTCATGCTAGTATGCGGCATAGTACCGTTTGAATGATGTGCCCGGGCGGGAGGTGGGCACAGACCCGGGCACATGATTGCAAACCCGTACTGCCCGGGTGAAACCCGGACAGGCGGCAACCCTAAGCTCAACGTCAGACAGGCTGCTGTTGATATATAAATATGGGAGCTCTTTTACCCAGAAAAGATTTGAAATTGTGCTCAGCCAACTTTATGACACCACAGCCATATCTACTGTAGCAGCACAGCTTTGTTGAGAGATTGTCAAGAATACACCCCTTGCCTCCTGACTTATCTCTCCTCCTGTCAGCATGGTTTCTCTCAGCACATTGCATGCAGCAGAGCCTTATTGTATCAGAGGGCTGACCCTACTTCACCTTAGATTACAGCAGGTTGCACAAACTAAATTAAGGTACTTAGAAAAACATTTAACATTATCTTAAATGAATACAAAACGTAAATGTAATTTGACTAAGAATATCTTTAGTTCATACTATTCTAAATACCCCCTATATAATTGTAGTGATGACCCCCCGCACCCAAGGGGATGCTGATGGTGACGAGAGAGCATTGAGCCGGCGGGAAGCTGGTCAATCAGGACGCCGGGCGGCGAGTCATTACCCATCCCTTGGTTTCCTGATTGGCCAAAAAGCCGGCTCCCTGCTTCCTCATCACCTGACGACGAGGGATCATGGAGGTGGCTTCCTGGCTAATCGGGATGCTGGGTGGCGAGTCATTAAGTGCCGCTGTCTTCCTTGATGGGACTCCCAGTATCGGTATTAGGCATCGGTGAGTACCGAAAACAAAAATATTGGTACTCGTACTTGATACCGAAAAAACGGTATTAGTGCATCCCTACCACTTACCTTTCAGCTATAACCATGGCGGTCCTTCATTAGCCATCCTGAAAGAATTACTCCATAAGCTGATGTCCCTAGAGAAACTTGAGGCTTGATACAACTACTCCTACACTGACAGGTTTTTTTACCACCTGGACCCCATTTCTGAGTTAGGAATTATCAGTAGGAAAGCTCCAAGAGGTGATGTCTCTCTTTAAAGATACGGAATGGTATCTCAAGGCAAAAATAGCTGCATCCCTAGGACCCCTGGATGTCCTTTGACGCACCCCCCAATAATGTGTTAACTGGCTTGATGCATAGTGTGCCCCTCCCACCGCTAGAGATCAGATCTACTTGGTGGATGTGGCATGGTTCCAATAGTGATTGTGCTGCCTAAGCTGTGTTTATTGTTTGTTGTTTTGTCTTATTACTTGCATATATCATACAGGACTTTATGTCGTTGTGACCTTGATATGTCTGCGATAAATCCTGCCTTTTTTCTTGCATTGTTGAAAATTCTTCAATAAAAATTACATGCAAAAAAAAATAACCAAGGAGGAGACACGTTTCAGAAATAGTACTTTTCTAGGGAGTCCTTAGCATAGATCGCTTTTTCATTTGGACAGATAGGTGGCAGTGCTCTAACAGATATTGAAAGCAGCTTAAGCTGGCCATATATTGGTTAGTCAGCTGGAGTCACCAGGCTGAAATTTGATCAGTGTATGGCACCATCGGCACCCCTCCTTTTAATAAAATTAAATTTTTTTTATTGACTTTTGTTGAAGGGGTCGGTCCGAAAATTCTCAGCCAAACAGTGACTGCAGCCAATTAGCTGTAGTCACTGTTCCGGTATTCTGGCAGTGGCACACCTGCCGCTGTCAGAATACAAAAGCCCAACTCGGGGGCAATCGTTAGGGGGGCAAAATGTTTTTTTTATCATTCAGCCTGTGGGTCTGAACAAGATACAATTATAAGTGTATGGCCAACTGTAATACGATACAATGTGATGGATCTTTGTTTTCCAGGATCTTTGTTTTCCAGCAGGTAGAGATTATCCACTCCACTGACAGGATTTGGAAGTAAACTCTTATAATATGGGCCTAATGCATTTTGAATATGAGGTTATGAAGCTAAAATAGAGATAATGGTACAGTAGTTATAAAAGACTTACCAAATTGTATTATGTTAATGATAACCTGTGAGGTCTTTATTTTTTTTACCTGCCAAAAAAAGCAGGAAGAATATTCATTTAATTTTGTTTATTTTTCCATCTAGGTTTGGAAGCTCCTCATTCTCCTTTCGTTACCTGATAACAGGAGTTACTAGAAGATTCTCGACTGATTTTGACTTGCAGCAGGTAGGCACTTCAGTTCTAAAGTACTTGATAATTAGAAGGATGTACATTTGTAGTTTCATGAACATTTTTAAAACAGGCTTTTAAAAGCATGAATGCACAATGAACAAAGTGCAGCAATGTTTCTCCAAGGCTAACTCTTACAAAACAGTAGACATGTGCGATTCGTTTCGTTACGAATCGAAATTCGTACGGATTTTCCTGAAATTCGTAAATTCGGAAGCATCCAAAATCCGAATTGCAGTTTCCGAATTATATCCGAAATACGAAATTCCGTTAACGAATTTTGGATCCGAATTTCTTTGAAACAGGAACTAATATTACCCCTGTAAATGAGGTTGAACAACATGACAAGATTTTTTTTTTTAATCCGAAATACGGATCCGCTGCTGCTGAGGGTTGCATTACAATACACACGCAGGAAATACGAAATTCCGTTGACGTATTTTCGTTCCGTTACGAACATTCGTTATAGTGGAGTTAAAAAGCAAAGTACATTTATATTGGAGTTGATGGTAGTTTTTTTTTATCCGAAATACGAAATTCGGATCCAGAATTCGTAATCGGATAAAAAAACAACTACCACATCGACTCCAATATTAACAAAGTATTTTTGCTTTTTAACTTCATCATAACGAATGTTCGTACAGTTACGAAAATGTGCCGAAACTACGAATCCGAATTGAGTTTCGGACACGAATTACGAAATACGAAATAACGGATATTCCGAAACGGAACAAATTTTTTGATGGCGCACAAGTCTACAAAACAGAGAAAGGAAAACACTAACATACTGCTCAGAGCAGCCGATCACTAGCTAGTGTTTACAGAAACATGGTGCAAGGAATCTAAGGGGTTGATGTGGGCAAGGATAGCATGTTTATTTTGGCTAAGTTTGTAAAAGGAGATACGTTTTATTAAACTGAATACCACGTAATCACATACACATAGATGTGCAGGAATCCAAGTTTTTATTTCTTCTTAAAGCAGAACTACAACCTTCAATGACAAGGAAGCCAAGGAAGGTGCCATCTTAGCCTCTTTTTTGCAGTAGCCATGGTGCTTCACATGTGATCAGCTATGAAAGCGGCCATTTAATTGCAAGAAGGATGTACATTTGTAGTTTCATGAACATTTTTAAAACAGGCTTTTAAAAGCATGAATGCACAATGAACAAAGTGCAGCAATGTTTCTCCAAGGCTAACTCTTACAAAACAGTAGACATGTGCGATTCGTTTCGTTACGAATCGAAATTCGTACGGATTTTCCTGAAATTCGTAAATTCGGAAGCATCCAAAATCCGAATTGCAGTTTCCGAATTATATCCGAAATACGAAATTCCGTTAACGAATTTTGGATCCGAATTTCTTTGAAACAGGAACTAATATTACCCCTGTAAATGAGGTTGAACAACATGACAAGATTTTTTTTTTTAATCCGAAATACGGATCCGCTGCTGCTGAGGGTTGCATTACAATACACACGCAGGAAATACGAAATTCCGTTGACGTATTTTCGTTCCGTTACGAACATTCGTTATAGTGGAGTTAAAAAGCAAAGTACATTTATATTGGAGTTGATGGTAGTTTTTTTTTATCCGAAATACGAAATTCGGATCCAGAATTCGTAATCGGATAAAAAAACAACTACCACATCGACTCCAATATTAACAAAGTATTTTTGCTTTTTAACTTCATCATAACGAATGTTCGTACAGTTACGAAAATGTGCCGAAACTACGAATCCGAATTGAGTTTCGGACACGAATTACGAAATACGAAATAACGGATATTCCGAAACGGAACAAATTTTTTGATGGCGCACAAGTCTACAAAACAGAGAAAGGAAAACACTAACATACTGCTCAGAGCAGCCGATCACTAGCTAGTGTTTACAGAAACATGGTGCAAGGAATCTAAGGGGTTGATGTGGGCAAGGATAGCATGTTTATTTTGGCTAAGTTTGTAAAAGGAGATACGTTTTATTAAACTGAATACCACGTAATCACATACACATAGATGTGCAGGAATCCAAGTTTTTATTTCTTCTTAAAGCAGAACTACAACCTTCAATGACAAGGAAGCCAAGGAAGGTGCCATCTTAGCCTCTTTTTTGCAGTAGCCATGGTGCTTCACATGTGATCAGCTATGAAAGCGGCCATTTAATTGCTTAAATGATCAGTTGAGAGCTGAAATAAGCACACTGTAAACCTTGACAGCTGGCATGCTTTAAAAGTAACTGTTTTGAATTGATGGGTAAAGTTCCTCTTTAATGACAACCATTCCCTTTCTCACCAGCTTGAACAATTTAAAAAGGATAATGAAGGAGTTGGTTTTGGCACAGCTTCACGGGCTTTGGAGCAATCAATAGAGAAGACCAAAGCAAACCTCAAATGGGTAAATGAAAACAAAAATCTTGTTAAGGAATGGTTGACTTTGAAGGTGCAGTAGCAAAGCCATAAAAAGACAAGCACATACCTAATACTTGTGAAGATCAAGTTTACCAGCCACATGTGCCTACTACAAGGACTGCTTGCCATTCTCTAGTTTATAAATCTGCAATGACAACTAAGTGGTTGTACAAGGACATGTACAAGATATAATCTACCATGATTCCTTCTGCAAGTGTAATATTCTATCATTGGTTTTGTGAGCTTCCTTTCTGAAGTAACTTACAGCTCTTTTACATGGGCATTGCAATCAGGTTTGCTTGTCAGTTTTTCAGGCGGATCTGATCGGAAGCCCAATGTTAAGGTGGCCATACACTTTACATCCATCGCAAGACCTTAGTCTTGCGCTGGTTGTAAAGTAATTTTAAAAATGTACGATCTGCCCATCTTGGACATCTTTGGATCTGCCGTACTTGTGATCACGGCAAGCCCGCCCCACTGAGGGACAAGCTTCCGATGACCGCAATGCTGAATGCCCGGCATTTTGTCTCCCGAGCATGCCACAAACCAGCCGAAAATCTTAAGATTTGCGGCTGGTTTTCGAACATGCTCCTTAGACAAAAGACGTGCGACCGTACAGTAAATACGGTCGCACGCCTGCCATACGCTTTGCGATTATCGTAGGATCGCGGGATTTCCCACGATTATCGTGCGATAATTGCACAGTGTATGGGCACCTTTAGTGTATGGGCAGCCGAATCTAAACAGATGTGCATCCATTTATATCTGATTACCCCCGACTCTGGCCAGGTCGGGAAAACCAAGGCTTCCGTTTTGGTGGACCTGATCGTGGCGGATCCTGGGGTTATCTGATGTAAACGGACACATGTTCATTTACATCTGACTCCCCATAGACAAACATGGGTCCAATCATTTCTGTTTTTTCCTACTACGCAAGCTGGAGATGAAGACTAGATGGACACGTATGTCACAGCAATGTCATCCATTCTGAACTGCTCTGATAAGCAGGGGTCCCGGACTGATACTTTCCAGGTAGCTAATTCTGTAATTTACATAAAGTGCAAGAGATTCTTCTTAAAGTAGATATAAACACAATCACCACAAAATCCCATATTAGCTTTCATGTCTTCATGTGATTTCAGAAACTGTTTTCAATATTCTGCAGCTTTCAGTTAAAAGATACCCATTGGCATTGTGCAGAGTCTTCCAGTTATAGGGTGGCAATGCTCCCTCTTGGTTTCTTGCGACGTCATCCTGTCACAAGCTAATAAAGTGGTCATGCTGGTGCGTGCTGGAAATGTGAAGGCATGTTCCACTGTTGTCCTCATGAGGAAATCGGCCCTAGTTAATTACATATAATCATCACTGGAGTGAATTAATGAAGCCAGGAAGTGGCTTCAAAGCGAATGCAGGAGATTAGCCATGCTGCTATGCAACAAAGGATGAAGACAAGTTTATTTAGTTAAGGTTTTATGAACTTTAATATAGAACCCTGAGTTTTTCCCTTTTTATTTTTTTTATGGTGTTAAAGTCGGAGATTA